CAGCAGTGAGCTCTCCCCAGACCACTGGTTTAATCTTGTCTCTCAAAACACAGCTGGCCTCTCCGGAAACGAGTCCACTTCTCTTACAGGAGAAAGGGCCAAGGCAGACAGTTCTCTGATCCCAGCCCAATATCTCAAATGATCACCCCAGGCTGAGGCCTCACGGTGTAACTGCTCTTGTTCTCTTCCACCCCATTTTCTGGAGAAAGAATGGACTGTCTTGCTGGCCACACATGGAACTGCAGTTACTGGGCACAGTGTAACACCATTAATGAGAAAAGTGACAATCAGGCAACACAGCAAAACCCCAAACCTTCAACATCCCAACACAGGCTGCCTAGAAAAGTTCAGCTGGTTTCAATGGAACTTGTTCGTGGCACAGAACAGTTACTTCCAAGTAAAGCCTAGTGACTTAACTGTAGGGGACAGGAGTGAGGATTATTACCATCAAAACAGAAAATAAGGTCCCTAAAAGGTTTAAAAACATTCTTCCTGCCAAAAACTGCTGGCTGTAGAACAAACACTTAGTTTAGTTACACTCAGTACCAGTGTCCCTGTAAGCTGAGCACTTGGTCGGCTGCCCAGGAGATTCAGGTACCGCCCAGTTGATTGGTAGAGCGCCCAGTCACCCACAACTGATACCATGTGTTTCTATTGGTGGTGCACATCTGCACGTGCCTCAGTGCACATAACAAAACTATTCTGCACATGAATGGAGCATTGCTCAGTACCATTATCCACACAATGTCCCAGCAGCACCAGGCAACACAGGTTTCAGCATTCTATTACCAACGCTTAATTTTATAACCCAACTTCATAACTTTTCTTGAGTGGGGCAAGAAGGGGGGAGGGGGTGAGTGTATGCAGCACCATAGGAGACAGCACTCCTGGTGGTGGTGAATTATCAGTACTCGTTTTGCTTACAATATTTTTAAAGCTTCTACGTTCCAGAAAGCTCACCAGTGCAGACGGAGTGCGTGAAGGAAAGCAGACAGGCCCTCCATGATCAGAAGGATTGCCACGGTCAGGGTAGCGAAAGCAGCAAAGATGAAGAACAAAGCTAAACTTCCAGCCAGACTTCTCATGCTGAGGCCGATGTGGATGACCATTGTCCAGAGCACCTCGGAAAGCTCTGTAGAGAGAAAAGTAGCAGCTGTTTTTGGGTGGCTGGAAGGGGAAGCTTTATCTCACTGTGCACTGGCTTTACGGGAATGTTCAGAAATGGCCTGTTTCTATCCGGCTCCAGCTGCTCCCAGTGCTGCAGCAATTGGAGGGAGGGTTCTCCTTGGGCTGCTTGTGAAGAACAAGACGAGCTTGAGGCCATCAGGACCTGAGCCCCAATTCCTTACACACAGTCCGAGACCAGCACTGCCATTACTAAGTGCTTTAAATTCCTCTCACTTTGCCCAAGCCAGGGACCTTTTCCTAAACAGCCATGCACAAGCAGACCCCAGGCAGCTCCTGCGTCTCACTAGTCACCCACACAAGAACAGTGTGACACTGCAGCAGGGAACTTCCTGATTAAACTTGGCCAAGGATTTTTTTTTTTGTAATTGCCTGTAGACTAGAAAAAAAATTGTTCAATGAACCCAAATCGGTGCATGCAGCCCGCAGTGCAGGCCGAGTGAAGCACAGCCCCGGAGCCAAAGGCGGCGGCATGGAGCTCTGCAATAGATTCCACTCATCCAGTGGACGATTCTTCAGCTTGGCCTGTGTCATCTAAAGGAGGACCCAGCTCTGTGTTGAAGGCAACTACAACCGTCTCCATTTTGCGCAGATTTCTTTGGGCTCCTCACAAGTTGCTCTTGCAGCCTCCACCACAACTACATTCGAGAGCCTGTCACACACTCTTAATGGCACACCGAGCTTCAACAACAGAGGCTAAAATTCTGATTACACCAGTAAATACCCTCTTCCCAACCATATGCCCACCCCATCCCGATCCTATCACACTGACCAAGCACATTCCTGTAGTCACAACCTCCACACTAGCGTAATCATCTCTGTACAAAATATGCCTTGTGAGGTATCATTCAAAAAGCAAAGAACTTACTGGCCAATATCAGGTGGAATTCATGTAGCAATATTGCACATGCAGTTTTGAAGAGGAGCTGAAATGACAACTGAAATAGGTTTACCAGACAAATCTGGTCTGGGGAAGAGGAGTGGTAAAACTGGCTCCTCAAAGACAAGAGGCAAGCACACATTTTTGGTGGAAAATCTGGGACTGGGAGTGTGTTGAGATCACCCTGCAGGCAGCAACCAAGGCTGCTGGAAGTGGGAGAGTAGCTGGTATTTGCTGAGAAGCTGCTGGGGTCAGAGTGGCTGTAGTAGGACTGCAGCTACACACAGGCACTCAGGGTGTGACCTGCGTGCTGTCTGGTTGCTTGTGAGCAGCTCCCAATGTGAGTTACACCAGCAAAGCATGGTGAGGCACCCAAGGCTGCAGGCCAGCTGGTGACAACCCCTCACTGCTCTGGAATGCACTGCAGAATAAATGACACACCCACCAGAGCAGCTTCTCTGTGGCACATACACATAACACCCAGTGCCCTTTTTGTCTGGGCTGATGGTGAGACACTGACCAAAGGGCCAGCTTTGGGAAAGGTACTTACGTGCATGGGCCAGGCTGAGAGCCCACAGTCGCAGGTAGGACGCTGTGTTGGAAATGCACCCCAGGCAATACTCAATGGTATGGATGGCCTGATGTACTACCGTATCCGCAAAATCAAACTGCAGAAAGAACAACAGAGCAAAAAGAAAGTGAGGCCAGATGCAAGGCAGTCGTAGTGAGCGAGGGCTGACACATCAGGGAAATGGCAAGCTGTCTGGGGCTATGGCAAAGGCAATATATTTACAATCTGGGCTCCTCCGGATCACTTCTACTGGCCACCTGGATTCAGATCCTTTAGGAAGAACATAGACAGAATTCCACAGTTGCAGTTGACACTTTTTGCTAAATGTGAGACTAATTAGAACTGATCCTTCAACACTGCAAGTTGTAGATTAATAAAAGTCTTTTCACATGGCAGGCAATGAAAACTTATGATCTGATCCAGGATTTTACCAGGAAAAGATTGCTCAGAAGTGGTTCCCTAGGAACATGCTAGTAATGAGTCTACTTCTACCAAAGAAAGGGGATTACAAATACAGCTTTCCTTCACCATAGGCAGGAGATAAATGTATGAAAAAAAAATCAGAAAAAGCCTGAGACAATACTGAATCTTTAGCACTGTGGGGGGTCACAATTGAAGTGATCTTATAAGAGCTGAAACTAGCTCTCTGAAGGAAGAAATAATGCACAAAAAGTTAACTTGAAAAAGCTCAACTCTCCTCACTGTTTCATCTGCAATCTCTATGCCTTCCGAACATTTTGGCAATCAACTCAAAATAAACGTAGGCATTTGCAACACTGCAGCTTGGAAAAAGAGTCCCATGTTTCTGCATCTAATCCATGTTCCGAGAACTTCTCAGAGGCATGTTATTAATGGGAATGCAGAATTTTATGACACCAAGTGATCATGTTCTGAAAGGTGTACAGACAGCATGCTATTTTTATTCTTGTTCTCCCCCCTCCCCTCTTAAATAGTCAAAGCCATAAACATTTCAAACAAATACGTCAAACTAGTGGTCGAGAGCCCAGATCAGCCTCTTCACAGGAGTATAAACTGCAAGAATTTCTCAGTATAACCTGCTCTGATAAACAGAGTCCTCTCCCCAGCGCACACAGAACCAGTCAGCGTAAAATAAACTGAATCCAACAAATATTTAAACAAGTTCGGTGCATGGCAGATTTAGTGAATAACTGCCAGGGAAAGGACCACTCCTGTGCGTCAACCCAAAGACTCTCATGGGATGGGCTTTAGCAGAGTTCTTGGCTCATTGTTCAGTTTGCTTATTTTTTTTAAAAAAGCAGCAGCGTTCACGTATCTTCAAATGGATCAGCTAGATCTGCATTATGCCTGTTTCACCAGCTCTAGGATGAATGTCAGGGGTGGGCAATAAGTTTTGCCTGGGGGTCACTTCAAAAATTGTTGATGTAGCCCTAGGCCACCTGGAAGGGGCAGGGCCTAAACAGGAAATGGAAGGGCAACCCCACCCCCCCAGACCATGATTGGTCTGGGGGTAGGGGAGCCCTTTTGCCCCCCCCCCCCCTCCCCCCCACTAGGCACCCATGTCTTGGAAGAGGCTTGGCATGCTCCTCAACTCCCAGGCCAATCAGGGCCTGGGGACGGGGGAGTGCAGGAACCCTCCTCCTGCCCTGAGAGGAGCATGTGGTACTTTGAAGTACCACGGGCTTCCTGCAGGGCTGGGGCAGGGCGAAGGAAGCTTCACGCAGCTCTCCCGCCCACAGGCCCTGATTGGCCTGGGAGCACCTGAAGGCTTCTCCGCTCTCCTTCCCCACCCCTGCCCTGTGAGCAGTGCACTGCAATTCAAAGTGCCACGTGCTTCTGGCAGGGCGGGAGGAGGCTTTGCACGCTCCCCTGCCCCCAGGCCAATTGGGGCCTGAGGAGCGTGCATAGCCTCCTCCACTCTGCCCCCGCCCTGCGAGCAGCGCTTTAAAGTGCCGTGCACTGCTCACAGGGTGGGGAAAGAGCGAAGAAGGCTTCATGTGCACTCCCCAGCCCCCAGGCCTTAATTGTCCTAGGGGCAGGGGAGCAGCAGGGCCTCCGCGGGCCAGATCCACCAGCTTGGCAGGCCGGATCCAGCCCACGGAGGCCCTTTTGCCCACCCCTGATTTATGCCTATGGGTAACAGCTCTCTCAAAAGATCCATGTTGAGCAAAATTTGCAGACGCAAAAGTGTCTCACTGCAAAGATTCCACAAGTCCATGGGTTTTCTGCAGAGACAGCTGTTTCAGAATTATGCATTCCAGATTTGCCCATTTCTGAAGTGCTACCCTCACATGGCGCTATATTAAAAAAAAAGAAAAAAAAAAAAAGGCAACTTGATAAAGGGTAGAGTGTACATCATGGTGGTATGTTTAGTATATCACCACAGTTCACACTAGGAGACTTTGCTCCATTCAACATCCTGAAAATTAGCCTCAGTCATACATCTAGGATGGATTAGGGATGTTAAAATGTGGTTAATTGACTAGTTGACGGAATTTCCATCGACTAGTCCAGTGGCGAGCAACCCATGGGTCGTGACCTCCAAGGGGGTCTTTGATCCGGCAGGCCGTGAGCCCTTCTGGGGCTCTTGTACATTTCAAAGGAGGAATGCAGAACTCTGTGTGCAGCCGGGGGCCAGGTCTCACTGACTGCACGTAGCATGCCTGCTTTGAAATGCACGAGGGGAGCAGGGGCTCTTGTGCACTTCTAAGCCATGGAGCCTGGGCTCAGCAGGGGACTCAGTCCCTCGCTGACCCCAGGCTCCATGCTACACTGCATGCTGCTAGAAGCCCAGGATAAGCTGGGGAGTCCCTAGCTGACCCCTGGTTCAGCACAGCACATCCCATGGCAGCTGCCCCTTTGAAATTCGCAGACACGGCATTTTAAAGGGGCAGCTGAGCTGACCCCTGCTCTCCCCAGCACTTCCCCAGAACCCAGGGTCAGCTGGGGAGTCCCTAGCTAACCCCATGCTCCACTGCCCCTTTAAAAATGGGTGGAGGCAGCAGTTTCGAAGGGGAAGCCGCCACACAGCTCATCAGCTGTGCCGCAACTGCCCCTTTGAAGTACCCCTTCCCCTCCTTTGATAGAAAGGCAGCAAGGGGGGGGGGGGAGAATATCAACTAGTCTTTTACATCCTTAGGAGGGATATGACCAAAGTCTGCTTCTAGTTATACGTGTGAACCGCACTGACATTATTGGGGTTACCTGCGTGGAACTGGAATCTGACCCTCTACATCACATCTTGAAACAAGCCAGTAAGTGCTAAGTGTCAGAGGAGGTTATCTGCTTAGGCTTCTCTGTATTGCTGTTTGAATGAACTGAATATCCTTGTTTTTGAAGGCTGAGAAAAACTCTACAGTTATTTCATCAGCAGACCAATTTAGTCATTGTATCAACAGTCATCTGAGCCCCAAACACTAGAGGGCTTGATAAAAATATAATGATCTATAAGTCTTGTGGGAACTGGAATAGAATACGAATTTGTATTTTTCCTGGCTGGGTGAAGATGGAGCCATGCTAGGGCACAGTCTATCGCTTAGCATTTTATCATCATTTGGTGTCATGAAGATCAAGAATCACCTTTACATTAAAAAAAAAAAAAAAAATCTGATGAATGTTTTGGTGATCCCAGATCTTTATCAGTGCATGCACCAGCTTGCTTGGAGAAGACTATGCAAGGGCCTTTTGCATGGACACTCCCCACATTCCAGTCTATTTCAATTAAAGACAAAACAAGTACACCCACAGCACAGATCCATGAACCGAACAACTGCCCTTTTAAGAGATTACCTCCAGAGTTACTCGGCCCTGCTAGAGCCTAGAAACACACTCACCCAAAGGCCTGGTCTACACTGGAGCAGAAGTCAACTTAAGATACGCAATTAACGTAGCTAAGTTGCGTATCTGGAGTCAACATATCTTAAATTGCTTTCCACACAGCAGGAGGGCAACAGGAGCAAGTGTTCCCACTAGCTTCCCTTACTCCATGCGAGGAGCAGAAGTACTAGCACTGACGGTGGGGGGAGCCCTCCAAGTTTGAGCTGGCATGTCTTCACTATACCTGCTAAATCAAATCCCGGAAAAATCAACCACAGCAGCGTTGATCTTCCCCAACATATCAGACCAATTCTAGGACTAGGGAAGGTAGGAAGAACAAATGATCTTTCAGTACCAAGAAGAGCAGAGAGGCTGGTTAGATTTAACAGTCTGTTCCAAAACAGTATTTTGTGTGTCTCCAACTCTCAGATAATCTATTTGTTTGAATATGAGCAATTCTCACTGATAAACCCTCTCTTTAAAAGAGGAAAATATTAATTCTCTGGACATCTGCAAATCTAATTTTGTAGGTTCCAATATTTGGCTGCAGTTTAGGGCCATATTCAGTCAATACAATACCTAGCTCTGGATGAGCCGGGGGGGGG